ACTTTTATTCTCTGTTCTACATACATATCCTTGATCAGTTAAAATGTAAAATATTTGGCCTAATGTTTTCAAACATTTCATTTTATTGCAGTCATTCAAAGAATAAAAGTTTTTTCTATTGATGAACATTAACATTTGAAAGCATTTTGCTTTTAAAAAGATTTTAGCTTAAACTGTTCCCTGTTACAACATGTGAAGTTTGTGGTTTTTCGGTTTTTAGTTACATCGCACACAATTTGTTTTATCAGTATTGTACTTATTTTTAAGGGTAAACTCCAATATAAGAATTTAGCAATTAGTATATTCACAGCAAAAACTTGTTATTGAAAATAAAACTACACACAAAATAAGAAAATGATTTTTATTTCTTTTACTGGTTTATATGGTATTTTGTGTGTAGTTTTATGCTAACAATTAGTACAATTGAGGAATTAGAGCAAGCTAATGTCCAGCCTCATTTTCACTATTTTGAGAGAATATGGTTTGAAAGGTTTGGTAACCAAATGTGTGTTTGCAATAACAAAAGTAAAAAAAAAAAAATGGAACATACTAGAAATTAGCTAAAGATAACTTAAACCAAATACAATTTTGTGTTATAACACTTCAACTAAGTGAAGATCTTGTGAGACTAAGAAATTCAGCTTCTTGTATATTAACCTTAAAAGACAAAAAGTATGTAGCAATTTTATCTGAGCTTTATGACTACCTTCACACTTAGGTCTGTCATATGTTAATCATAAATATTAAAGTATTGAAGAAAAAGTCAATAGCTGGGTTTTGTAAATATGGGAAAAATAGTGCTAACCCACATTTATTTTGTTATGCCATTTGTTCACTTACTGATAACAAAGCCACAGGTCTTGATGGCATAACCACTAGAATGATAAAACATGCATTTGAGGCCAATCCTACAGTGTTTGTAATTCTGCTTGAACACTGGCCTTTTTCCTACTCAGTGGAAAAAGGCTAGTGTCAAATTGATTCCCAAATCCACCAGCGCTAACACTTACAAAAAATACAGGCCAATCTGACTTGTCCCCACTGGGAAAAGTGTTAGATGGTCTAATGATTGATAGGCATACCACAATTATCACTGTTAGATTTTAGAGATGACTTTGATCACGCCTGGTGGCCTTTTATCCTGCACACATTACATGCTCATCACTGCCCTCAAAATCTTTACAAACTTCTTCAGTCCTATCTTAGCAACAGGTGTGTAGGTCTTAATACAACACAAAATAACATAGTCATACCCATCATTTGAGGCTGCCATCAGGGATCCTGGTCTGGTCTTGGTCTCTGGAACATAGCCTATAACTCTATCCTGCACTTAAACGACACCCTGCCTCCTGGCTGCCGCATACAGGGTTATGCGGACGACACAATTATCCTAGCTTCACACAGGAACAGTGAACGCTTACAGGACATAAGCAACGACATTCTCAATAACATTCACCAGTGGAGTATTAAGCATAGGCAACCCATTAACACAGATAAATGTGAGAGCATGATAGTTGGTAGGAACGTGCCACTTGTCAGGAAGCTTGCCCTTCGAATAGGTGCTCACAGAATAAAGTAAACAACAGAAATTAAATATTTAGGTATTATACTTGACAAGAGACTTAACTTCACACCCCATATCAAATACATCACTGACAAAGCTAAAAAGATGCTCTCATTAGTATTGCTAGGAATACATGGGGCCTTGGCCCTAATGCTACTAAGCTTATTTACAGGGGTGCAATTCAGCCAGCACTCCTCTATGCCATATATGTCTAGGACCATGTGGCTGCCAAAGTCCATAACTGTAAAAAACTGTTATCTGTTCAAAGGATTTCAGCTCTCTGCATTTGTAAGGCTTATAGGACTGTACCCTTTGGTAATGTCAGGATTAAGCCCTATTGACTCAGTATATTTATTTCGTTTGTAAAACATAAAAAATTAATTTTTCTATGATACAGTTAACACGATTATCATTAAACAAAAATTTTTAGACTTAACATCAACAAAAATTTAACATGGCGTCACAGGCAGCAAATAAAAAATTCAACATCGAATAGGTTAAACGCATTATTTGGCAGGAAAATCTTGTCACCTTACCCTGGCGAGATTATAGTGACTTGGATGTTGACAAAATGATTAGAATAGGTAAGATTCCCCCCAGTTTGACCAGATCAATGATGTCGAAAAATTCAGCATCAACAAAAATACCTTTCCGACTTACGATTACCACCCCTCCCATCAGCTTGCTCCTGACATTTACTTTGAAGATCCAGATGATCATTTAGGATTTACACTGACGGTTCCACTGGGTGACGATGTGGGTGCCGCTTTTGTAGTTTACTTCAACATAGGCCACGAGCTTCACAGTGCATGCTTCCATCTAGGTACACACTGCTCAATAGCATAGGTGGAAACTTTAGCTATTTATGAGCTTAATTCACATTAGGCGTAGGAAGGACAAAAGACACCTTACACTATTGCATTTATTCTGACAGTAGGGTAGCTTTACACAGGATTGCGAAGACTGATAGCCTCTTAAAACTGGTCCATCTCATACACCACATTCTCAGACACTTAGACAACAACTTTAGATAGATTTCAAATGGGTCCTGGGTCATGCAGGGGTTCTTGGCAACAAGACTGCTGACCATCTTGCCAAACAAATTGCAAAGTCTTCAGTCATTAGTACTGTACTTTCAGCTATATTTCTACCTCGTACATCAACAATCATATCAAGAAGCAAATCTTCATTCTCTGTCAAGACAGCTGGGACCATGACACCATGGGTAGGCTCATCTACACTTTCATTCCCTAGGTTGACAGTACTGTGATTCTTTGCTACTTTTACCCTAGTTAACCCTCACTCAACTACTTACAGGACACGGCAACTTTAAGCAATACTTGTATAGATTTAACCTTGGTGACAATACACAATGTGATTGTGGTATTCACGAGGACCAAACACCACTTCACTTAGTTTTTTGCTGCAATAGGTACAATCACATTAGGGGTAGTTTAATGAGAGCTGCTATTCTTGAAGGGTACAACTGGCCTTGCAATCTGCACCAACTCATTCACACAAGTACAATGTTTCATCATCTACTCTCATTTATATTTCTTAGTGGTGCTCTTGAGAGCACTCACTCCAGGGGCACGGATGGCAATTAGCTTTTCTTTGCTTTGTTTCAACTGTCCGTATATAGCTGCCTTTTAACTTTGTATTTTAATTCTTTTATCTGTCTTCTTTTTCAGTCTAAATTCAGTTAGTCCTAGTTGTAAGTTAGATTAGGGACTTTTAGCTTGATTTCCGGTTAGGATATGATAGGTTAGGTTAAATTTGTTAGCTTTATTTGTCTGGTTAGGTTTGTCCTAGGTTATAGTAGGTTAGTTTAATTAATGAGTAAGTTAATGTTTAAAAATAAAATAAAAAATAAGAATAAAACAAAAAAAAAAAAAATTGTTTGTCTCTGTTGGTCTGTTTGTATCGTCTAGTTTGTTATTGTGGTCGTTTGCTTTCAGCCTCTAATGAATGATGATTGACAGTGCAAGAAGCAAGACAGTGTCTTGCTGCAAGAAAATTTCAGAATTGTTCGGGGCAATACAAAGGTCTAATCATCTATTGGCATTTTGTGAAGTTCTTGAAACTACATTCTGTCCTACTTTATGTGCAGCTAGCATGATTAGTTCAATTTGACCAAAAATGTGGCTTGGCACTATCTTGTTGTGACACCCTCAATTGTGAAAAGAGCATTTCTTATTTCCTTAAGTATTTTTAAGTAAAAAATTTAAAATTAAAGAAGGCTGTAAATCCTTTAATTTTAGGTTGCTTATTCTAATAGCAAGTTTATATTTGGAGAAAGGTCTATGTTGATTCTTTCAGGTGTATACACCATTCCTCTATCCTTCTTGGATGATGATGATAATCTCCTATATATTGGAGTCACTTTTGATAGTTGATAGTATGTATTTCAGAGCATAACAAAACTCTTGATTAGAATAGAAAGTAGAGTTTGCAAAAGTGGTTTTAGGCAATGGATACATAGTTATGGGATGTTGTAAACTTTTGAAAACAGTTTCTAACAAAATTTTGTTTATTTAGGAGACTAATTATAAAACTAAAGCCAATAAACTGAAATTAATGCTACTTGGCACATCTATGTTGGATATTGCAGATAGTCCACTGATTATTATGGTCATAGTTTTCGTTGTTTTTATAAATGCATTTCTTTATATTAACATGTTCTAATGACACTCTTGTAAGTTTGCATATTTTCAATGTATCAATACATATATCCTTTGTATAACATGCTAATTATATTCTGAAAAACTGCCGTGTTATGCGAATCCACACTATATGAAACAAAGGACCAAGGGTTATGTTCCAGAAGTTAGCAAAAGTATACTGTTTTTTTTTTTTGTTACTAAGAATTCTCAATTTTAGATATATTCTCAATTTTCAAACCATGTTAGAGTGAAACAGTGTTGTAGTAGTATCATGTTGTATGAGAGATACCTGTATTTGTTGTAAAAATATCTATCATCATATTCTTGTACAAATTTTGAATGTTTTTTTTCTTCATATTCTGGTTTGTTTTTTATCCTGAAGAAATTCTGAAATATACAAAATGTTTGATTTATTAAAAATAATGTTTATTTAACACAAAAAGTTTCAGATTTTACTTTAATTTTAATATTATTTTTGTTTTTTTTTTCTTAGAATCTGGACAAGTCAATAGTCACTAATGTACTAATGGAGTTTATTACCAAATACATTCAATTCTGTCTTTGAATAGATTCAGTTCAAATTTTAAATAGGATCAGATGGAGTGTTATTAATTGGTGTAACATTATCAATTCAGTTTTCAATAATTTTTTTTACTTTAACTTGAGTTATCATTTCATTATATTTATTATATATTATTTTTGTTTAATTATATTTTATGACAAAAGTCAAATATTTAATTTTTGAAGTTTATTAACATTTATTTTTTATTTAGCTTTGTTTTAGAAAATCAATGTAGGATGTATCACCAGTCATCTTTATCACATCCACCACCACCACCTCCAACACTTCCACCTTTACCAACTAATAATAATTCAGTTTCTAAAGGAAAAGCTATTACACCAGATAGAAATGCTCTATTATCTCAAATTAGAGGTGGAAAAACATTGAAAAAAACAGTTACAAATGATCGAAGTGCTCCTCAAATAAAGAGTAAGATAAATTTTTGTATATTAGTATATTATATATACATATATAACATATTCACATTTGAAATATACACCCAGTTCTGTTTTTACATGGTAGATATGTTCCAAAAAAACTCCATGTAAAAAGTCATGTAAAAAGTTATTGTCCTTGTTACTGGAAAAATGGAAGACTTGGCTCCAGACTATTAAAATCAGTAAAATTATGATAAACACATTTTATGCAGGGTTTGAAATTAGTAGTTGTTCCTTTGTCTCAGGCAACCAAAATTTTATTTGGACTACTGAATGCACTTTGAAGTTGCCCAGTGGGCAATCTCATTTATTTTCTTGTCTTTTCTTAACTTTTTCAAACTACATGCATCTTTTATTCCATTAAATAGTGATAAATACTTTACTACTACTACTACTACTACTACTACTACTACTACTACTACTACTACTACTACTACATGTGATGATGATAAAAATAAAACAACCGAAAGTCTGTCTGATACATCAAACTCAATTATGATGACAAGTGCAGTGTGGCTGCCATGGAATATGAGAGCAGAAAACACAAGATGAGAAAGTAAAAAAAATTAAGCATTGGTAGATGGAGAAAAAGTATGTATGATATATGAAGTATTATTCATTTTAATAAACTGCAGTACCCTGCTGAATTAAATGAATGTCTTTAAAATTTATTACTGTTTAATATTCATTAATTTTACTCTCCATTGCATTTAAATTATAAATTTGATTCAAATCAAAATAAAATATTTTTCTAAAATATGTTAAATATAAATGCATCTTTAATATTAATACTTTGTGGTATTAATTTTGTTTTTGATTTTATACAAAATAAAATATATAAGAAATGGCATATTTTTGTCAGGACTGATGATTTCTCCAAAATAGACAAGTTACCATTTTATTCATTCTGAATTGAATAAACTGTATTGTATTTTAAATAGAGAAAAACCATATGCTTATTAAATAACCGTTTTGTTTTAATGATTAATGGGTGCTAAGAGTACTTCATATAAAATAATTTATTTTTCATAGTTTAGTAAATTTTTTTATTTGACATCAGAAAGTTTATTTAATATGGAAAATTGTTCAAATATAAGAAAAAATGCACGAATGAAGAATATCAAGAGTTTAAAGAAGAATATGAAGTGCTGTCTGTTTGAGTTATATAAAACTTCATATAACTCAGAAACACGTGGAAGCACAGTTTCAATTACATTATTTTCATACAGTACAATGATTGTATTGTATGAAACTGGTATTTCAGGAAAATTTTCTGCTCACATGTGCTGGGAAGTTTCTTGAAATCTATTTACTTAAAATGGAGATTTGTCTCAATTATTGTGGAATACTCTGTATTGTAAAATTTTTTTAAAATAGATAACTGATTGAGATGAAAAATATGTACCATGAATAAAATAAGAAAATATACAATATCATTTGTTAGTGATATTCATTTATACATTTAAATTTTATAATAATAATAATCTTTGAATATATGCTATATGTTTTAATTTTATTTACTATTAAAATTATTTTAATTCATGCAAGATTATATTTTTGCTTTCCTAGATGCCAAATCATCTGAAGAAACTAAAACTACAAATAATAAGGTTTCATTACAAAATGATCTTTTAGGTCTTGGATCAGTATTTGCTCAAGGGAAACCAAAACTTCGACCTTCTTTTAAATCAGGTAAGTTGCTTTAATAGAATGCATAAAAAGTTGTTTTTTTTTTTTTAAATAGTATTATATTTTTGGTGTCATTATTCATTATTATCCAGAAAAACTAATTGTCCTCAGGTAACAGAACAGAATATGCAATTAAATTAAATTGATGGAATTCGTTAATGAAAAACATAAAAATAATTCACCATTTATCACACCGGAATTACTAAAAAATTTTACACACCTGAACCATAATCATTATAATTTTATAGATATATATCGCTTTCATCCAGCACAAGTGGTGTGGTTGCTGTGTGGTATAAATTATCTTTGCCTCCTCAAATAATGCTTGTATGTCAGGGTCCGTGGCATATTGTACTAATGCTGTAGTATGTCTTTTATGTAGGATGTCTGCTTTATGTTCTTTGATCCTCATCTCCAATTATCTTTTTGTGGATCCCACATATACAAAGTCTATCCCACCTATGATCTTTTATGGGGATCCTGTATACTCCTGCTAATTTGTTGTGATGTGGAGTATCTTTTGCATTATTTAGCATTCTATTAAACTGCAAGAGAAGATAAATGTATAAACAATAAGGATAAACTATCTTTATCGATAGCATGGCAAATTCCTATTTATGATACATGAGAAGCCAAAAGTGATCCTTCTATCTACAGAGCATGTGCAAGTTTAAGACGATCAGTACACGGGTTTCCTTAGAACAAGGCGTTTTAGAATTCGTATGAAACAGATAAGTTCAAATACCATTTATTCTGCCTGTTTTCTTGTATTCACCTGAAGAAGAACTAAGTTCGAAAACGTTAGTGAAAGTGTTTTAAATAAGCACTGTTTTGGTTTTGAGTCAGAAGTAAGTCGTATATTTTACAGTGTGTATTTATGAGATTATTTAAAAGTACTTTTTATATCATATCAAATACAATCAAACTTGTCTGTAATGGAACCCTAAGAGACCTAACAACTCTTCTGTAATAGACAGGTTGTAAGGAACCAAGTCCGAGCATTATTTTTATTTACTTTTATTTTTGCTTTTTATTATATTTTTGTTTGGGGCTTATGTTTTGTTGGGACGAAGGTTTCCTCACCATTCACCTTAGAAACTTAAAAATAGAAAAGAAACTAACTCACCAATGAGAGAAAAGTGCTGTAGAAAAAAATTGCGCACACTTGCGCTCCCGAGCGGAAAAAAGTAGGTCTGCGCTGAGAAAGGGGGGAGACCCCACAAGCACAACTTAGGGACTCGCTAAACCTTAAAGAATAAAAACATCTTGAAAATTGTCAAAAAGGATAATGTAAAAGGTTAGTGAGTATTGTCGAAAAATAGGCTGCCAGACAAATAGAAAAAGTTTATTGTTAGCAAATAAGTATGTAAATGAGGGGAGTGATCGCATTCAGAATTGTGACCTCACCTCACAGTATAAAGACTGAACCTCAAGTGAAGGTGGATGAGGTGAGCTTCTGTTAGCAACAAGCTTGGTGAGCTTCATAGCAGTAAACGAGAGAGAGGTGTCCGATAGGATAAAATAGTTCCAATTTTGAAGTTATTCGATTTGTGGATCGACAAATAGAGAAAGTCTTGAGAGTTGAGGAAAAAGGTTCCTAGTATACTGAGGTGACGATTAAGATCTTTAATTCATAAGAATTATTGTACATAAATTAAGTCTTTGATTTTGTCGAATTCCAAAGGGGAATAGAATTAAGTTAGAAAATAGATTGATTTGAGTTTTGTCGGGTTGATTCTTATTGACTTTCATTGAATAAATTGTTATTTGATTTTACTAAATTTTGTATATAGTTTATTATTAGAATTATTTATTAAATATTTGATTTGTTATTGACAAACTTTGTCATTATTTAATTCGATGCACGCTTAAAGTCCAGGCCTGGCATACTAATGCGAATCCGCGTAAAGTATCTGTTAGAGAACGGCTATTTCCGGCACACAATTGTGTTGATAATCGTTGGAAAAGTCGGTAAAATAATATAGTACTTTACAAGGTTTCCACTATATACAGGTTACCTACTATAGGTATCTCATGATTAATGTGATTAATAAATTTCTCAATTTGTGTTTTGAAACTGTGTCCTGTTTTATAATTCTTGCATAGTAAACACTAGTATTGTGTTGTATTCCAAAGACACATGGCAAGTTTTCCATCAAATATCTTTATTAGTTGAGTCGATACGAAGAGGTGCAAAGCCCGAAATGAGTACAAAACAATGTACCATATCGACTCAACTAATAAAGATTTGACGGAATACTTGCCATGTGTCTTTGGAATACAACATAATACTAGTGTTTACTATGCAAGAAATTTCTCAATGTTACTGTGTATACCAAAATCACATTAATCAGATACTGTAAGAAGTTTTTAAGAGAAAATCCCACCAGGAGACGAGAGAGAAATGTGGGAATCCGGTGGGTAAGAAATAGTTTTTTCTTACTCTTGATCGGCCTCAGATCGGATAGATCCACCTGCAGGGTCATAAAATGGGTTTTTAAGAATATATTTTTGTACAGGAATGTCGTAAAATCCCCTGTAAGTTGTTTTTCCTGACATCAGCCTAAATAGAGCATTAGGCACACAAATGAGTAAATTAATATACTACTACAAGAGGGAGAGACTGTAGGTAAGTGATAAGACTTCGGCATAGAGTTGAGCTCAAGAATGAGGCCACAATAAAGTAACAAAACATTATTTAATAAGAAATAACACACAAAATACAGCTATGGAGAGATTATTAATCCCTATCTTATTCGCATGAGAGAGAGAGAGAGAGAGAGTTTACAAGTATTAAGACATACTACCTCAACTGTAGATCATGAACTATATCTTCTGATCGGTGACGAATCATTGATAAGGCAGGATGACTGCAGTGGAAGTTCGGGAGAAGTATGAAGTTCTAGATGGGAACTTATGGCGCACAAGTTAAATCTATGGACGAGAGATTCTTATGGCACTTCCCCAAATTCTTGTAGATGGCTGTTTTTTTTTTTCTGTGGCAAATCTGTTCTTCTGTAAACTGCCTTGAGTGGTGGGAATATCACCCTTTTTATCATCATCAATCAAAGATTGTGATTAGTCAGCATTTAAGTTTGCAGATGAATGTGTGGGGATGTGAAGAGGGGGTGACTGCCAGATGGATGTCAAATTTGTAGATAAGGTCTTGTGGGAAAGGAAGTTGATTTCCTTTTCAAGTAAAAAGTGATATTGTATCTTCCCTTTTTGTAAATAACTTTTAAAAACTAAATATATTTTCCACACTAATTAATTAAATAAATCCTGATTTTTACAAAAAAAAAAAAAAGCAGAGGGCACTAGTTGTTTTTGAGACAAAGAAGAAGGATGGTTGTCTAATTGTTGTAATTAATTGTTTCTTTGATCCTCATCTCCAATTATCTTTTTGTGGATCCCACATATACAANTTTGTTCAGTAGTTTTTTATCATTGCTTTTACCTTATTCAAAACAGTAGTAGTATATTAAATTAAAATAAATAAATAATAAAAAAAATACAAAAAAATCAATAAATAATAATAAATAAATAAATATATTATAAGTATTTATGAATAAAAAAAAAGGAAAAAAAAAAGTACACATAACAAGAGAATCAAACCTAAGCATGCAAGTGTACAAGTCAGGAGCATTACCACTCATGCCACAACACGCTCAGGCGGAAGTATGCATACCTTATATATAAAGTGCTAAATAAAACTTTAAGTTCGTTTTTCTCGATTATATTTGAGTGTTGCACTTTAGTATTTTACAGGTAGTACACTCACATGGTGTACTACCTCTACACCAAAGATCATCAAAATCCATTTACCCAAAGCTGTAGGGTCTCCTTGTAAGTCCTATGAGTATGATGCAAATGCTAATGGAAGAAGTAATATTATTAACCAGCAACAGGCAGTGTGAAACTAAGGAGTCAGTTATTGAAGTCCAAACTGTACCTAATTTGACAAGTTCTCTTCCAGAATTTAGTGGTACTACTACAGAGTGCGCTAATGAATGGTTGAATTATATTGAATTGACTTGAATTCAACAGAGACTAACTGAGATCTATGTTTTTCCACTAGACATCAGCAAACTGAGAGGATCAGCAAAAAACTGGCATAAAGCAATTGGTTACCAGCTTTTGGACTGAATGGAAGACAAGCTTAAAAAGCGAATTTGGTAAAAAAAAAGACTGATGTTGAGAATGTGGTGTGACAGAGTGAAAGAAAGAGAACAAAGACAAGATGAGAGTCTCGCAAATTATTTCTATGCTAAGCTGTGTTTGTTGTGTACCAACTGTCCTGTAAATGTTACTGAAGCTGGTGAAATTGATTATTTACTGTATGGAGTAAAAAAATAAACAACAAACAGTTACTATTGCTACTCATGATGTGTACAGTATTGGAGAACTACAGGTTATAGCATGCAAGATAAATGAGCAAGAGACTGAGGCCAGGATGCATATGAAGACTCAATTTTCCAAATAGGTTCCCAAATAATACAAATACAAAAGTAAAGGATCTGGCTATTGCAGTTGATGCTATTAAACATATAGATGAGAAGTCGATAAGAAGATACCCCAAGTGGAATGCTCAGATGCCTTTATAAATGACCCAATGTTACAAATGTCAACAGTTAGGACATCTAGCCAAGACATGTCCAAATGAAAATATTGCACAGGCCAATGAATACAATGCTGAAAGAGGAAGCTCAAAAGAGATTAAAGACAGCAAGAAACAAAAACAACAGAGCAATGCTTTAAACATCAATGCTAACACTTCTAAAGTTCATAGCCCATATGTTAATGTTGACGTCTCAATGATAGGAAAGATAAGAGCCCTTGTTGATGCAGGTTCATGTCATACAATAATTCATTGGGATCAGTTACCTGATGGTAAAAGGATGTTAGATGACGACACCACTGAGTTCACTGGTATTGGCATGACAAAGGTGAAACCAATTGGATTTGTTGATCTATCTATTTGTTTGAAAGGCCATGTCACCACA